TATCACTTGGAATATCATTAATCATTAGCACCCTCAATCTTCGAGACTGATAAATCATTTTTATGATATTTATTGGAACAAATGGATAATATTTACGGATATCTGAGATTGCTAAATGCATTTGTAAATTCAAACCGTTGTTAAAGAAGATTGAATGAATTACCTAGTGATTTATAGAAAAGCTTGATGTGTATGCGATACAACTCTAGACTTAAACAGTATTCAAAAGTCTATGTGTCAGAAGACATGCTATGATTCTGGATTTAAACAGTGACTAAAAGAGTATGTGCAGCAATCTACACTTAAAGTGCATTTATTGCCGCCGAAAGATGATGTGATATGTTAGTGAAATATAAAATGTTTAGATATCATTGATGATGGTATGCAAGATGAAATTATTCTTTGTAATTTGAGATGCTTCATTCTCGATTAGTGAAAATTATTACTAGCTAAATATTTGTGCATGGATATTTGATCAATCTGAGTATGAACGGGGTATGATATATATGGGCGCACTACCCCTCCGTGTGTGCTACTAGATATTATGGATCCACTAGATAGCCACATGTGTGTGATTCGTAACCATGAAGTTACGAGATGATTCGATCAAATAATGGATATATGACATGTAACCTGAAGTTACGAGATGATTTAATCAAAGAATGTGTATGTGACACGTAACCTGAAGTTACGAGATGAATTGATCAAAAAATGAAACAAGATGGTTATAAAAGAAAGAAAATAAGTGTCATATGAAAGTGATGAAACTAGCAATATACTCAACTAGTATGATGAACTCTTGAAAAAAAAATATGCTCATTACAAGTGATATGAGTTCAAAGCCCTCCTATTATATGTTGAAATCGAGAACGAAATGGAGATTATATGGCCTCCCCTCAAGAAACTCAATAGTGAAAATACAGATCTGGGATCTGTTAAAATGAGGGAGAGAAAATCAATGATTGAAATTTGTAAATGATATATGCATCACACCGTAAGTGTGTAAATAGTAAAATGAATGATACTGATGTAGTGAATTATATGAAACTATATGATGGTGGAATAATACGCTAGAAGCGTTGGTATTGTGCAAGTTGAAATTCCCCAAATAAGTGATAAAAAGAGGCATATATATACTATTGATGGAATCAATTGATAATGAGATATCTCAATATACACGGGGGAATATTGGAAATGAATAA